ATGTTGTTAACATTAATCATTTGAGAATAAAGTATAACAATAATAATAATTTGCATGGTTTGATGTGATATGAGCTAATTGAGATTAAATCACCATTGGTAGCGCGATTTATTGTAATGCTTTTTTCCTCAGTTGGTCAGAACAAACGTGGCAGACTTATTACTTACTTGTTCAGATGACAATATACGGTGAAAATTCTTATTTGGGTCATATATTCCAAGACGTAGGCTAGAATCTGTGATTGCGAAGTACAGTAAATATCCACACAGGTGCGGTGACTGACTGCCACACATACTCTTCAGAACATTAGATTCATCCGAGCTGGAGCCGTGCCGGCTCACAACCCACGCAAGGAAGATAATTCCGCACACAGCTGCAATTATACGTTTTCAAACAGAGATGGCGACAAAGAGGCAAAACTTACTGCAGCTTTAAATATCCATGCCATAAGTGAAATGGCCACTGTGAGTGCATTGTGCATTAAATTATTACTTTTGTTACATTTATAAAGCAATATAGTGCTAGCTTTGGCTGGTCACATTAGTCAAGCTTGCATCAGCTGACATTGTCATTATTATCAAAAACATAATGTATTAATGTTGCTTCATTTCTGTTCAAGGCTGCATGGATGGGCGAAGAGTTCTTGCCCAGAAAAAAAACAATCCAAACTGTATGCTAATTGTCAATTATATTGGATGGAAGTTATCCATGTGCCCTTACGCCTTTTTTAAATCTAGAACGAGGGTGGTGAAGCTAGAAGTTGTGTATGTTCCAAGAAACAGATGACAAGCTGTCTTCTTTCTTTAGTTCTGAGAGGGTGTTATTCTTAACAAAGCCATTTTTAGATGTATATAAGGGCAAACTGTTGAAGCCATTCATTTATAATTAAGTTAAGTAATAATATTGCAGACTTTCTATTTGAATCTCCTGCCAAAACCTTGTTCAAGCAAGAAGTATGTTAAGAGCCAAATGTGTACTTTTCTAACTGCTAAATGGCTGCAATTTTGCTGTTACGTAAGGGTTATGCAGACAGCTCTCCAACAACTTTTTAAGTCAGATGCAATTTATAGACTGTGGTCCTCTATACATTATGCACACTTGAGCAGGTCTCAGTACCAGTGTGGAAGGCACGGCAGGAGTCTCATCCGCCCTGAGCGCTGACCTGATCAGGCAAAGTGCAAATTGACCCAGTCAGATAATGCCATGAAGAAGAGAGACTCAATTACTCTTTCAGTATTTTGCCGAATTACACATCTGGAGCTCCTGCCTAATCAATATGCTTCCTGTCTTTGCCACTTGAATGATTTATTTTCTTACACTGAGGGTCAGAAAGCCCTGCTAGTTTGTTTGATTGCATTTGTGTGTCATTTCATTTATCCAAAGAAAAGGTTTGGCTGGTTAGTATGCTCCTGTTGACCTCTGATGGTAGATTCTCATTAGAATGAGATTTTTGTGTATTTTAGTCTATGTCTTTCAGATTTGACAGCAATTGCTAATGTACTTGTAAACAGTGACAAAATAACTTTTAGCAGATGTACATATTTAAAAGTTAGTCTTTCTCTTGTGGGAAAACAGCAAAAACCTGCACTGCACAGATTTTGTCCACTCAGATTCCGCATTTAACAATAATGTGATTGGATACACTGGATATTTTGTTGTAAAACATACTCCAATAATTTTTTTTTTTTTGCAGCTAAAAAAAAAATATTTTTTTTACAGTGAGTTCTTAATGTAAAATTGGAAACATCAGGATGTTTTTATATTTTCTAGACATAGTAATCCAGTCCCAGTAGTGCAATATAACAGCTTTGACAGACGGGATGAGGATTTTTCTAATGCCATATATTGTTATCACAAAGCTTTATCACATCTAATTATTCCTTTTACATATTTCAGCCTTTGTAACCTTGACTAGAGTGAAACATCTATTCCATCTGTTAATGTGAGTCTGAAAATATGCATTTAATATTAGCATATTTTTATATAGTATACAATTTTCATGTTCTTGACTGGCACAAATTACAATTTGTCATCTTTGACAATGCATTGGAATGCCAAAACTGCAAAAATAATTGTCAAAACTGTAGAGCTGTGCTTTTCAGAGATGTCCTTTTCGTCAATAAAATAATCAGATTCACATTTTATCCTTTTCCACAACAGTATTTTGTCCATAAAACGGTATATTGACAGATAGCTTGCAAAAAAATCTATCCAAGTGCTTTGAAGAATTAAGCACAGATGGTCTCCCAGAAGGACAACCTCGTTTCAAAGCATACAGCTGCTCCAAATTCAATTATGATGATGAAAAGTTGTCATTCTCAATTCACTGCGGAAAAGAAACAGGCTGATTCCTGTTTACAAAATAACAATGAATGATCCCAAACGTCAGCACGGTTTTGAACGCATATCTTGCAAAGCTATTGAATCAATATTGATCTTACAAGAAATGGTCACTTTTGATTTAGTGATGTCTGTCATGTTAGCTTTTGGTTTGGGATCAACAGAAACAGTTTACCTGGGTTTAACTCTCAGTTTAGGGTGAAAGAATCAAGCAGCAGTCTTTACATGGTATTATTGTAATTGCATATTTTCCACTCAAGAAGTTGCTTAATATTTCCTTCAAGTGAAGGCAAAGCAATAGTGACATCAAGTGGTTGGTGTGAACAATTTTATTCAGAAAGGCTGATATAAATATCATAACATTCATATTAGCTTATATATTTTACTGGAAGTAAAGTAAGACATTATTTTTATGTTACGCTGAGCATTTAAGACAATGGTTTTGTTTCCCATGCAAATATCTGTAACAGGTATAGATAACAAACAGGGTGTAGGCAGGAATTATAAAAATATTATCAGATCATAAATTATTAAGCCATATAGGAATTAGGTGGGTTGTTATTTGCCTGCTGAAAAAAAGGCGTTATCTATATTATTCTGTTGGAAGCCCGAACACCTCCACTTCACACAAGCTCAGAGTCCTGTTTTCCCCTGGAAGAGTCAAAGTCACATAACGGCCTTGAAGTGCACCGCCACACCTGAACGTCCCCGTCCCTCCCGCAGGGATGAAGGACACTTTAACACACCTGAATAAGAGTGAGAGTTAAGGAAGAGAGAGTAGAAATACAATTATGCCTTAAGAATCATACATGTTGTGTATTTATGCAACACTTTCTGTCTTCAAAATTAGGTTGTTCAAAAGAGTTGTCTTATTTAAACTACATATTAAGACGTGATGAAAATGCGTGTATACACCGACTGTATAAAAATAAAAAAAAAAAATAAAAAATTAATTCAGCGTCTAGAACTGATTAGTTCACGTGATCATAACTGGTGAAATTACTTCCTTGAAGTGACCATTCACTAATGGCCTTTTTGAAGGACATTTTGTAAATGGGTTCAGTTGCTCACTTTAATTGGAATGACCCTTCAAGTGGGGTACCCTCTCGCAGTGCTCTTCAAAGGCGAAAAACCCTGTTCGACCCTTGGAGACATTGACTCGTTCAGCCAACTGGTTCAAAATATTAATTTGGCAAATGAAACTGCATCAAGGGCTGTTCACACCAAGGACAAGAGTTATAACAATAACTATAGTAGTGCCACACCAACAGACTGTTCTGTTTATCAAACGGGTTCTGTAGTTTTGTCGTCTGCTGCTTGAAATGCACAAGCCTTTAAGATTCAGGTGGATTCTGATTGGCTGTTAATTCATTGATTCCAATGAAATCATTCCTATGTACTGTTATCGCAGTAGTTATGGTGTGGATTCCACTATTCTTTTAAGTTTAGAACGATTTCTAGATAGAACGAATAACTTCAGATTTATCATTATAGCTATCGTCCCTGGAGCCATTAAATAAGTGTAAAACAGGCGATGTGTCTAAAATGAAAGTAACTCAATATTAAGGTTTACAATATAAAATTGTTTAATAGTTGTACTAAAGCAATATCACATGGTGTTTGTCTGAACACACAGCACACTTGCTCATGCAATATTGCTTAAATAATAATATTAAAATAAGTCTTTATGAAAATAATAGCACTCCTTACACAGGGTTTGTACGGCCCTCAGACTCTAGTGAATCTCCAATGTGAATCACCACTCCGTTGAGTTGCTCAGAGCAGCAGTCACCGCGGTTGGTAAGAGCCACTGATGCAATTGTATACGTCTTCATAAGATCCACTCTCCACCAGGGATTACTTTCAGTGTCTGTTTGAGTGCAAGAGCCTTTCAATAGGTCATATTGGCGATTCCCATCAATGGCATTTTGTGCAAGACTCAGGCACGCTGTAGAACCTCGATTCACACTGGACTGGGTGGCTCGTCCATTTGGTGCCACGTTGATCTGGTTGGACAGTATTAATGCTACCATGTCTGAGATGTAATGAAGTATGAAAAGTTATAGACAGTGCTGTAAAACTCACTCACACAAACATCATATTTGTGACCGCTTTACCTTCAGAGACTGCGTACACCTCTACTTCACATAATGTCAGAATGCGGTCCACTCCTGGTAGGAGCACATTAACATACTGTCCCTCCACGGGGCTGAACTTGAATTTCCGTGTTTTCCCAGGCAGCATGGAATACACTCTTGCAACCCTAAAGAAATATACAGATGAGTGATCTCACATTCTGGATTTATTTTTAGTATGATTAAAGCAATAGCAACAGCTTAACAAGGTCTCTTACAGCTGATTCTGGTTGCCGTCATTGACAAGGCTATTCCCAATACGAATCTCGGCTCCACTGATCCTATCAGCACAACAGTCGCCCCAGTTGGTGATGGAAACCATGACAATTTTGTACGGCTGTTGCAGGGTTACTCTCCACCAGGGGTTACTTTTTGCAGTTATGTAAGTGCAGGAATCATTTGCTAAATTGGCTGCTCGGTTTCCATCGACAGCTTTGAAAGCCGTGTTTCTGTTCAACAAGTCAACAGACTGATGGGCCACACCTTTCAAAGCAACATTTCCTGTAAATGTTAGCACAACAGAGAATATTAATGGAAAATAAATGGATTACATATATGAAAAACTACAAGAAACTCTCTGTATAGATTCGGCTGCAGGAAATGTATGTGGACCTTTTGGTTTAGTACAGATTTCTATATAATTTGGTCATAAAATAAATACATTTGTCTTCAGTCTCAAAAGTGCAGGGTACAATATCAATACAGATTTCCTGATATGATTCTGATTCATTTGGAAAGATTTGACTTATAATGCCATCTTTACTTGCGCATCCAAGAAATTTTCTCTCTGTAAAATACACATGGCAGTGTTTCAGACAGGACAGTGTTTTTTCTGTTTGTAACTGTTCATTAAAATAGTCTGCCTCATTAAAGTTTTCAGTATGTTTTCGTAAATTACATCATAAGAGACATTGTTCATAAATTGGGCTGGTTGCCCTGAATAGTTTTGATTCACTAAAAAGAACTGTCTCACAAGATTCATGTGTTTGTGAATCAGACTACATTGTATGCCCTGTTGGTTTTTAAATCACTAAAAAGCATTGGTTTTATAAGAGTCATTTGTTCATAAATTGGACTACACTGAGCCTGTCCCAGTACGCACACTTGCTGACTTTGCAATTGACCACTTGTCTACTTATGACTTATTTCCTGTATTTGGCCCAAGTGTTCAAGTGAAGATAGCTAATGTATCAAAGAAAAGCAAACTTTTTACAGAGCTTTATTTACATTTTGATTTTGACTACTTTGCACTTTAAAGCAAACTTCTGAATGTATGTTAGTAGTCGTAACAGAAATAGAATTAATAATTGTTAAAACTAAAAGTCTGCTAAACTTCTAATTAGAAGTTAGACTAAAATACATGTCTGAGCTGTATTAAAGGTCACATATTTTACACCTTTCTGGAGTTTTATTTTAAGTTTTGATGTCCTTAAGAATATATATTTGCGGTATAAGTACCAAAACCATCTCCATATATTTTTTACAGCTCCTTTCTAAGGAAGTTTCAATAAATTATTGTCTTTTGTTGTTATGGGCGCGTCTACAGATTTCTTGCCATATGTCTATGTTTCTTGCATCTCACGATTATGTCGTGTATGAAATAATGTCTGTGCATGTGTGTTAAACAACAAACTGACGATTTATATATAATCATTTGTAATTGTATATACATTGTTGTGATTAATTGTGGCTGGAACAATAATGTAGCTGTAAAAATAGTTTCCTGCTTAAATTGAAATGTATATACATCTTCATAATGACTAGATAGACACGGTGAGTTTGTCTTTACTATACACGTTAGATGGGATTCACCTCATAGTAACAATCCTGTCAGATTGTGCATCCTTTGAGTGAGAGTGTAACGTTACAGGTCGGCCGATCTGGTTTCGTGGTTAAAGTTAACCTTTTCGACATGTTTCCGTGTTGTCGTTGCTCAGCAATGGCATGGACGCGATGTCTGGGGGTTTGGGACTGTGGGCGGTGCTCGGGGCAAACTTTTTACAGAGCTTTATTTACATTTTGATTTTGACTACTTTGCACTTTAAAGCAAACTTCTGAATGTATGTTAGTAGTCGTAACAGAAATAGAATTAATAATTGTTAAAACTAAAAGTCTGCTAAACTTCTAATTAGAAGTTAGACTAAAATACATGTCTGAGCTGTATTAAAGGTCACATATTTTACACCTTTCTGGAGTTTTATTTTAAGTTTTGATGTCCTTAAGAATATATATTTGCGGTATAAGTACCAAAACCATCTCAATATATTTTTTACAGCTCCTTTCTAAGGAACTCTGCTGAGAACAGGTCGATTTTGGCCTGTCTAATTAATATTCATGAGCCTCTCTTCTGATTGGCCTGTTGTTTTCTGAGTGACGCATGGCCAGGCCAACCACAGGTAAGTAGGGTCAGCCGACGTCACAGCGCTAGCTGGGGCAGCAAAACAAAGGGGAAACTGGAGGCGGCCCATTCAAACCAGAGCAGATTCGGCTACATAAGGAGCTTAAAATATCATCTTCTTATGATGTTGGGTGCCAGAATCGACGTAATACAGCCTCAAATTAGAAATTTGATCGCATATCTGCTGCCACTGCCAGACAAAAAAAACGACGACAGCTGTGGTTAAACGCGATAAAACGAGC